ATATCTTTCCACTTTATCTTAATGAAATACATTAGCACGCCTTTGAATGCTGTGTCTTTAAATTGCAGAAAATACAAAAGTTGATACAGAACCACTCCTTTGAGTTTTAAAAAATCTTGTACGATCAGTTGCGAAAAAACAAAAAATATTTGGTACAGGTCTTCCCCACAAAGCTTTTCGCAAAAGTACTCTCTGCGAACTAAACCCAGCAACAATGGAAAGTAAGCTTCTGCGACGCTTGAATATTTCACAACCAAGTCATACATGCGAAATATCAAGTTTACGAGCGAGATTTTCGATCCTACTACGATCAGCTCGAACAGATGTTCCTTGATGAATTGTTCGTCACTGAGATAACACTGAGTCAACACATCCATGAATATCGGCGGCATGTTTGAACTATGCGGATTTTTCAATATGTTCACGAAGTTTTTCTTGTTTATCGTAAGCGATTTTAATTTCTCAATCAGTTCGCTAGAGAAATTAACGCGACTCAAGTCAAAGTTTTTTGGTTGGTTAGATTTGCAAGTTTGGCTGAAATAGTCAACCATTTTAAAAAATGCTAAATCTTGAATTACCCGCGAACTGACGGCGTTGTTTTCAATGTTCACGAAAGAATAGTTACCTATATCTGTTAGGTAGTTTTCTATTTTTTCAAAATAAACACTGGCCAGAGGCCAATTAACAACGCTAGCCTGTTCCAGCACTGTTAGGAAGAGTAACGTTAGGTTGTCCATATAAGGTAAATATACAGGAACTTTTTGAATAATTTTTAAAAGAGTTTTGAGGTACAACTCTAAATTTTTGGCGTTACTTATTTTGTTTGTTAAAACGTAGATTAATATGTATAGAATCATTTGAGTGCAGGAATAAAATTCGCCAGGTCTCTCTGTTAATGGTTCGTTATTAACTTCTTTAAAAGGATTTAGCAACGTGTTGTCGAGGAAGATAAGCTCAATCAATTTCATCCACAAATTGCTATATTCGTCTTGTGGAATAGGTAGCACCAAATAAGGAATTTTAATTGTAATATACAGCATGTGGATAAACTTACTACTATAAAGTTCTAAAATAGTAAAATTGGTAGGGATCATTTGTAAGCTTATATGATTATTGACCTTTGTCTGGAGATAGTCAGGGTTGACTCTGGACACGATAGGCAAAAACAAGTTTTCACAATAAAACCTGTTGACAAGTGTCTTCAAAAGGACCACATCCCCTGCGTAAAACAAATCTACCACTAGCTCTCCCACAGCTTTGCTTACGCCGACTTCGACGTCAAGAGCTAAGTTAAATAAAATGCTTGCAAACAGCGCAATTTGATCTTGTTCGTCGAAAAACACCAAGTGTCTTTTACGAATACCTACGAATGAATTAAGATAATCTCCAAACCTTATTCGCACAATACTTGTAGGGTCGAAAACAAAGTCTTTCAGAACAGAAATGTAGTTTAGTGTCAGTTGTCTTCGATCAAAAGTATCAAGTAAGTAAAAAATCAACTTCAGCAAAGCTTTTCGCACGTAAGACTTTTCGTCCTTTGCGAGCAAAGTAATTATTTTTTCCAAATGCTGGACTAAATCGAACTGTCGGTGTTTTTTTTCGTTAAAAAAAGCACTGTCACAAGTCTTAAGCAGTTCTACGACCAGCTCGATGCTTCGACAACGGATGCTAGCGGCTGTATAAATACAGCCGTTCAACAACAACACTAAAAGTTTCTCCTTCATGAATCCGTAAACTTTGATTTCCATGCAATATTCGAAATAGCACTCTAACGCTAATAGCCGGAGGTTGATTTGTTCCGGATTTGTGCATTGCTTTTTCAAAAAAAACAATAGAAAATTTTCTTGTTTTGCGTTGCACGACTTTATGGTTATAAGAAACTTTACTATAATCGAAGCAAAAATCAGTCGTATGTCTTTGCGCTCTGCACAAATGTTCATTGTTTCAATTAAAAATGAAAATGTCGTCAAAGTTTCGTTCAGTAAACTTTCCACGACGTTATACATTTGTTTGTTTGTTTTTCTCAACTCTGGCAAGATACAGTTCTGATCGGTCAAAGTAGTTATTGCTAGTTTGAGTAATTCGTCTTCCACGTCGTTAAGATCAGCAATAGAGTTCAAAATGGCATGAATATCCCCTGTATCAGACACAATTTCAAGGTAAAAACTCAACATGTCAAATAGCGTTTTTGACACGAACTTGAATTTTTTCTGCACGCTAGCTAAAGCGAGATTTCCATTCATCTTTTCTTTAAGTATCTGAACTGAATTACTAGTAAAATACTTGTACACATGCAACGTCAATTTGATGGTCAAATCGCTGTCATCGCTGCGAATGGTTACTTCTTTTAAGGTAGAAATGTTTTGTAAGAATGATTTGTAATGGTGTATAAAATTGGCAGTCAAATTGCTTTCTAGTTTTTTAATCGAATTGAAAAAAACATTGAACACGATGTTTAGCCCGTAAAATTTAGATAACAATTTGTGTAATGCGGAAGGTCTGCTAAATATCTTGACAAATAGATCTATGCACATTTCATCACTCTCAATGGAAGCTTCGTTTGCCAGAAACCCACAAAAAAAGTAACTGCTTATAATAATGTTTATGCAGACTTCGTCTGCAATGCTGACGGCGTAACACAAGAAATGCCAATATAAAGCGAAGATCGGTTTTTTATTCCAGCCTTCCAAGTAATAAACTAAAGCAAACACGAACAGCAAGCCCTGGCTGATGCCTGTAATATATTCTAGACGACTTAAATTGTTATTTTTGTAAACGTCAACATCTACTTGCTGCGATATGAAGGACAATTCATTTTTCAACGAAGAAATATTGTATAAAAAATTATTACAAGTGATCTCGTTGTACTGACCTGCTAGCTACACATTTGTTAAAAATAAACTTACTTTTTCTGCAATGGCTTGACAGTAACTCACAACGCTTTTTAAACTGTTCGGAACTTTGGCTGTTATTTTTTCATTTAGATATATAGGAGGGAAAGAAAGTTCGAGTTCAGGGTAGTCGAATTCAATCCCACTAATGTACTTTTTGAAAATATCATTGACCAATTCTACATCCCGCTCAGGAAACTCGATGTTCTCATTCTCTAAAATCATTCATTAAATTATAAAAATATTATCAGATATTTGAGATAAAAAAACCACCAAACAGAAAAACTATGGTCTCTTTGCGTACGTATTTATTATAAATAAGTAATCACGCTTGGGCTTTGTTTTTTCGCGAGCGTTAGATTGTTTGTTTTGGACAAATTGATGTAATAATCATTTTCTGAGTTTTTAACGCAAATAAAATCTAAATTATAAGACATTATATTGTCACAATTGTCATTTAAAGTAACATCAACGAGTGTTTCGAAATTGACCCACGGAGGAAACACCAAGCTAGACAAAACAGCGTTCGGCGTAGGTGACACCACACTAAGAACAATCTTATTCGAAACGAACTCTGGCCAGTTTAAGTCCAAGAAGATAGAATAGTACAATAGTTCGTAGAAATTAATGAATTTTCGGTAACTGTAACATTGGTCTATGGATCGAATGACAAATAAACTAGCACGTCTGATCGGCATGATAGCGTCGATCAGTTCGTTAAAATCAACTTGTGTCTTTACAGGGTAAAATAAATTAGACACCGTGAACGGCTCATTTTTGTTTTTGGTTTGAATTGCATCTCCAACACTGTTTGCTAAAGTCGAACTATTTTCGTTTTCACGTTCCCATTGTGCATATGTCGACGGAAACTCGGATTTATCGTCGACTATGATCAATAAACTGTGAAACTCACTTAGTATTTTTGCTATTTCACTGGTGTTAGTCGTAACAATGCATGCTCGACTGTTGAATAACTCTAGAAACCGGATAAACGGATGTATCGGTATGTTCATGCAATCATAGTCTGCATCCACTGTCAAGTGGTCTGTATAACATTGAATATTCGACAAGTACTCCACCACCGGTTTTTCTGAATAAACTACCACTTTTTGAAATGCTAAAGCGCTATCGCCAAACAAATAAACAGAAGCGTAAAGAAGATTTTCAAAGCTAAGTGTCAATACACAATTCATGCCTTCCTGGCCACTACAAATCAAGTCGGAAAACAATTTTGTCAATGTCGACGCGTTTTGATGAAAGCCTGACAAGTAGTCTACGTGATCGCAATTTTTGTCTAAATTCACGATTTTGATAACGTCGTTTTCTTGTTTAAGCCAATGGGCTAGATAATACCACACAGGCGCTTTGCGACTAATTAAATAAGTTTCGCTTTCCAGGTTAATTATTTCAGAAAAACAACTATACAAAAAACGTTTATATGAATTTCGGTATTCAAGCCTCAAACGCCAAACGACATTTTGTAGCGACCAGTCCGTTGGAACCCAATCCAAAAACAAAGTTGCTACTGATTCGTCAACCAAAAGCTCCGTTGTCTCTTTATTTTTCACTATGACAGTGTTTTTGCACACCTGCTGCTGCTCTCCGACCAGAAAAATAGAAGGCACTAAAATTATCAATTTCGTCTTTGTGATTACAGGTAAAACGGTATTTTGAATCTCCAGTGAATCCTGCTCAACCAAATCGTTGTTGCTGTTTTCCAGAAACTCCAAATAAGAAGACACCTTAGTGAATAGACACAAATTAGCATTAGTGTGCAAAACGTTATCAACAGCTATCTCAACGTCTTCTATTAAATTAAAATTCAAGCTCATGCTTTTAACTTATAAATAAGCGTATTAGCTTAGATCCTAATCATGTTTTTTTTTTCCTTCCAAGAAAAATATTTTCTCGGTGTTCTAATAAAGAAATTGTAAAAACTTGAGAGAAAATTATGTGTTCAAAAAACTAATTAAATTATTATAATTATAGAAATATACTCAAATTAATCAAATAGTTCATTATCACGAACTATTATTAAGACGAATATTAAACCATGGACAGTGAAAACGATGATCTTGGATCGATCTGCCAAGTAACAGGACCATGTAGGTTTATTCAATAAAATATTTTTTAGTGGTTGTCGCGAACAATTTGGCCGGATGTAAAATGTTCGAAATTGTGCATGTCGGAAAACAAAAATTAATCGGTGAAATTATTAGATTGAAAAATTCGAAAGCTTTCATACAGTGTTACGAAAACACGGCTGGACTGCGTTTAGGAGATCCTGTTATTCGAACTAAACAGCCTTTATCCGTCATGTTGGGTCCTGGAATTTTGGAAAATATTTTTGACGGAGTTCAGCGACCACTAACAGCAATTCACGAAGCAAGCCAAAGTATTTTTATTCCAAAAGGAATTCACTTGGTGTCGCTCAACAAGACGAAGCTTTATCCCTGGTTCCCGTCAGAGTCAATCAAGATGGGAAACACTTTATCAGGCGGAGACATTATAGGGTTCATGGAAGAAAATTCTTTGTTTAAAAAACACATGATAATGATTCCTCCTAAAATCTCAGGGAAGCTGGTCATGTTGAAACCCGCAGGAACGTTCAACATTGAAGAAGTATTAGCAGAGCTCAAAACTCCGCACGGAATCACGGAAATTAAAGCTTACCATTATTGGCCTGTACGAGAACCGCGTCCGACAGTGGAAAAACTGGAAGGAGACTCTTTGTTGTACACAGGGCAACGAGTGCTTGACGCTTTATTTCCTTCGATCAGAGGGGGCACATGTAGCATTCCAGGAGCGTTTGGATGTGGAAAGACTTGTGTTTCGCAGGCTGTGAGCAAATATTCAAACTGTGACGTCGTTACGTACGTTGGATGTGGAGAACGTGGAAACGAAATGGCAGAAGTTTTATCGGAGTTTCCTTCTTTAACGACTCGAATCGACGGGAAAAACGTAAACGTTATGCTTAGAACGATCCTCATCGCCAACACCAGTAACATGCCTGTGGCAGCGCGTGAAGCGAGTATATACACCGGAATTTGTATTAGTGAATATTATCGTGACATGGGATACAATGTTGTCATGCTTGCAGATTCGACATCGCGATGGGCAGAAGCTCTCAGAGAAATCAGCGGAAGATTATCTGAAATGCCGGCAGATAACGGGTATCCGGCATACTTAGGAGGCCGGCTCGCTAGTTTTTACGAAAGAGCCGGCAAAGCAGTTTGCGTTGGCAACCCAAAACGAAAAGGTTCAATATCAATAATCGGAGCTGTCTCGCCCCCTGGAGGAGATTTTAGCGATCCTGTCACAGTTTCGACAATGAACATCACGCAGGTTTTTTGGGGACTCGACAAAAAATTAGCTCAACGCAAACATTTCCCTTCAGTAAACTGGAACAAAAGTTATTCCAACTACTTGGACCAGCTCAAGCAGTTTTTCACCAACTTTGACCACCATTTCTTAGACAATAGACGCAAAATTGCGGAAATTCTTCACAAAGAAATGGAATTACAAGAAATCGTGCAGCTCATAGGCAAAGACTCGCTGGGCGAAACGTCAAAATTGGTGCTTGACGTAGCCAAAATCATTAGAGAAGATTTTTTGCAGCAGAACGCTTTTTCAGACTACGATTACAACTGCCCGTTGGAAAAAACAGCTGGAATGATGCACATCATCGTTATGTATTACGAATCGATTAACAATTTGCTTCAAGACACATCCAAAAACGACCAGCAACTATCATTAGCCGTGATAAAAGGAAATATGAGAGATTTACTTAACAACATATCGGCAATGAAATTTCAAGACCCCGCACAATCGCCAACAGAATTCAAAAACTATTTCGATAAGCTAAAAAGTAGAATTAACGAGGAATTAAAAAAATTAAAATCATTATAATACGTATATAGCTAAATTATTCTTCATATTATCGGCTATTGATTGGATTTATCCTTATAACCGGCTATTTTCAGTCCATTATTGATTGAGGCGTAAAATTATACTTAATATTTGAATTTTTTAACTATTGATTTTAGTCTGCAATTTTGGACACAAGAACAAAATTTGTGGCTCTAAATGCAACGAACGCCCAAAAGTTCGAGCTATTTGTTATATTAGCTGTGATATACTTTTAGTTTAATATATAGAATGAAGCCTAAACTGTATCTTGTAAAAGTCGATTTGATCAACACTTGTTCCACGTTTCTTGTGTGTAACTACATGTACCAACAAAATTCGTACGGGCTGTCGGCAGTTCCAGAAATTCTACCTCCAGGTATGAGCTATTCATTTTTGTTGTATAACTCGCAGTCAAACAAGCACGAGATCTCTAGCATGACGTTTGGATATTGTATTACCTTTTGCGGGAGAATCGTTCAATCTACGATAAAAATATTTACGCGCGTCGAAAAAAATGTGATCAAACCTTCATTCCACATAGTTTCCAAAAACGAGCTTTTCGACGTTGACATCGTGGTGGAAGATAACCAACACATAAACGTTTTTTTCGGTGAAAATATAGAAGGAAAATTGAGTATTAAAACGCAACGTGAATTTTGGCGTTCTATTGCTCAGTCTTTTGTCAAAATACTGCGAAAGCACGATTTACTCCAAGAGTTGGAGTACAACACCCAGTCCAAAACGTTGCCCTCCAACGCACTTTTGTTCTATGACGAAGAAGAAACTGACTACTTGGAAGAAGTCTTAACTTCACGCTCAAAGCAGTATAACGATTTGCAGAAACAAATCAAGCGAAAGCACAACAAAGAATTTACAATTTTTTTCGCTAAAATAATATCTGACTACTACTTCCGAATAATCCGCCTGGTTCTGCCCACGTTAAAACATTCTATTTCGTTTACCAAACAGAGGAATACCCTATTGAAAAACCAAAACACCAATTCCCGTTTGTTGAACTTGCGCATTATCAATTTCACCAACGCCAAGCTGAGACTATGCAGCTCTTACTATCAGGAAATCCCGATTTTAGATTGTGAAATAACAAAGTACGTTCCTGCCGAAATTGCGGCGTATAACTGCGGAGAGTGGCATTTGCAAAGCAAAAGTTCAAAGATCTGTTTTTACTGTGTGTATTCTTCCGATGCATACACAAGTAAATATATAGTTAACAGCAATCTCAAGATTTCGGTCGAAGATATTTATTCTAATAAAATAACTTCTCTTCCTCAGATTCCCATCATAAAACGTCTGTCTAAGAAGCTGGAAATTGATGAAATAGCCATTGTCTATGTCATAGACAAGTTATCTAGTTCGTTGCAACCATGCGTGTACGTCATACAGTACATCAACGAAGTCTACACCAATAATAAATTTCACGCAACCATGGAAATCACGAACTCACTGAGTGCCATTTTGCGCATTTTTGAAACCAATAACGAATTGTTGATAAATTTGTCGGCCGTTTACGCGATTCCACAAGAAAAATCTAAAATCGTCAATAAACTTAGAAATGCCAACAAACTAAATTACAAACTCGGTTTACAAGAAATTTGTGCCAACGCTCTGAACATTACTAAATATGCCCGCTCGCTTTTAATAGAAAATGATTCGTCAAAGTTGGTCACAGTCGATTCTAAAACCAGTCAGGATCTTTTCGATGGAATTATTGTAGACCAGGTTTTAAACAATCAATTGTATCCAGAAGAACGTTGTGACGTTGAAATTCACTCGTTCGACAAAGGATACATTCCTACCTTCAACATCCTGGACCTTGAATTTTTCAATATGCCCGAAAACAACAATTGCAAATACAATACGATTTACGATACAATAATTTACAAATACAGTTTATTTCCAGAGACGTACTACCTGTTTGTGAGTATTGAAAACAATGTCGTGCCTTTTATAAAATTCGACAACACGAAGTTTTGTGGTATTGACTGTGACTCAGGCATTGATAATGTTATTTCGATTAAACATAAATCTCTTAAAGGTGATTTAATAGTTCATCAATTCAATTTATCAAATTTTGAAAATGTAACTGGGTACTCGATTTTGTTTTCGGTCGAAGACGAAAATCAAAATATACCGCTTCAAGTCATTCAAGAGGTTTACGAATACACATTAGAGCTGCGGAAACAATTTAATACCAACATTGTCAAGGTCAATAAAGAAAAACTAACATATGAAATCTTGTTATACTACACAAATTTGTTTTTAAAAAAAATGAAAGACTCCGCAAAACTCGAACACCACATGAGTACTATTTGGAGCAACACTTCAGGTAACAATTCGAATGTCACTTTCATGAACAAACTTGATTGTTTCATACTTGAAGAAGAGAACAACTCCAAAAAAAATCGCTGTGAAAAAAAATACTTAAATAAAACAGAACTAATAAACAAACTTGTTACTTCGTGGTATCATCAGAACTTTGATGACTTAGACTGCAACATATTCGATGAGATAGTCGCTTGTTTAGTAGACATTTCAAACTCCATTGATTCACAACCCTGCTACTCAGAAATCTTAGTCGCCTCGTATCCTTTTATTTTTAAAACAATGCATAAGAAGTATTCTTATTTCCAGATGGTAATTAAACAATTGACTGAACTGTTATAATGTCTTTATCGAAATTGGCTTATTAGCTACGTACTTGGAAAGCATGTATTCTAGACAACTATGCACCTCAATCAGGATATTAATCATCTTCGCGCAGCCTATGATTGCACGCCTATCGGTCAGCCAATCTTGCCCAAATGCAGATTGGAACCTAAAATTAACAGATTAAAACCAAAACCGCTGCCATTATTACCTTACATCGACCGTGATCCTAACAGAAAGCAAAGTTTTTTAGCTCTTAAAGAAACTTCAGCCAATTTGTTTAATAGTACGCACAAAGGAATCACAAGTTGTTTACGCGAACTTCCTGGTGAAGTTGAAGAAAAAATAGACTATCTTTCAAGCAAAGTTAAAGAACGGTCTAAAAACATAACTCATGCATTTAAAGAAGCTGTTAATGAAACCAAAATTTACGTCAAGGAACTAGCTAATCAAACTAAAAATCGAATTAAATGTTCTCCTATAAAACCGCTCGAACTTGATAAGATTACATCTGAAAGTGAACACCAGGCCGGAGCAGTTGTTTCGGAACTAATTAATGAAACGACCGAATGCTTAAACCAACTAAATCAACTAAAAGAAATACAGCAGCTAGCTTCAACGCTCAAGAAAGATTTTAAATTAAATCTCTCAGATGTAGAAATTGAAATCGGTGAACCTCAACCACTTCAAAAAAAAAAATCTAGTCAAAAAAAATCTAAATCTAACGACAACAAGTCGTTAAATGATAAAGCTGAACTCAGTTCGCATTCAGCGAGAAAACGTGCAGTTTCGGAAGTTAATTTTTACAAAACAATTGAAAATGACGATAGTGTGAAACAATCATGTACTGCATCTGAAGAATCCATAATAACTACAAAACGCGTACAAAATCAAATACCTAATAATAATACGTGTAATATTTCCAAAAACATTGAAAAGGAGGATTTACATGCGAAGCACCCGAGATCTAGTGAATTAATTCCACACGCCAAAAAGATAGATTCAGCAAACATGAATCACTTATCCAACGTTAGACTGCAGAATTTGAAAAACCAATTCAAGCAAACAAAAGAGGATCCATACAAAGATCTTAATCCAAGTCTTGTATATATTCGCAGTATGCATCCACCGAACACACCGAATGCTTGTGCTTGTAATCGTTGTAGTTCGATTAGATCTATTAATTTTTTGCATACTCAAAAAAATGATAATGTTCCATGTAGAACTCCGAGCATTTTATCGAATCAAACTATAGATAAAGAACATTATAACTTAGTCAAATCTTCACCGAGAACTGTTCACAATGCTGACGTTACCTGTAAACCAACAAAAGAACACGAATGTGGAAACGACTACGAACAAACGTCTAAAAGAAATTGTTGCGAGTCAACTCCTAATCCAATAAAACCACCAAATTTGTGTAATTGCAATGATTGTGCCAATAAAGTTGAAAATTTCAACACTTACTTCCTGAAACCGTCCATACCTGTGATGTCTGTTTATCCAATAGGGGAGAAGTATAAAACGTTGTTCACTACTAATAAACGGCTAGACGCATATACATTACAGCGACATTTATGGGAAGCTATTTATGGCGACCATCAGACTTCATACATTCAACAAAACAATAACTATCCACAGCACCAATTCTATAACAATTGTATATATGATAAATCGTATACATTACTTAGAAACAATCAGGCAGAAAAATAACTTATTTATATAAAAACCATGCAGATCCATTGTTTTCTAAATTATTACTTGTATATTTAGTACTATAATAAGAACAATAGCGGATAATAAATAGAATCTAGAAATGTTTCATTGCGGGGAATAATCAATAGAACGAAAGTGACAATTAGTCGGTTTAGTTTAAAAGTTAGCATCTGTCCTTAAGTCCTAAAATGTAAATGTCACCAGTGTTGGAACCGGCAAACAAATAGTATCCGTCTCTGGACCAGGCTAAACTTGTACACCAGGGTAAGTGCTTGGCTGGCTTTTGCTTAGATTCAATAGTAGCAATAACAGTTGGTTCTACGTTCTTCTTTCGGCGAAATTCTTGGATTTCGTTTTCATTAGAATCTGGTTTTTTGTCACTGACCATTCGAATGTCGCTAATAATAACCTTACGTTCTAAATGGATAATCTTGATACCAGTGTCAGTGGCAGCACTGATCCAGTAGTTGCAAGGAGTAAAGCAAAGGCTGTATACTGGAGAAGAAACATCGAGGGTGTAAACGTGAGAGTAGTCGCTTACATCCCAAAGATGGATCTTGCCATCAGAACCTCCGCTGGCGACGAGTGAACCATCTGGAGACATAGCAATACTGTTGATT